AACATGCTTGCCAGATAGAAAATTAGAACTGTGACATCTGTCTCAGTAGATCATTCTTGACCTGCTAACATCAAGTTATCGGCTTTGAGGATGAGAAGAAAAAGAAACCCTGCCTTATTTGCACACAGAGTGACTATTCTTGATGTCTAATGCTGTAAAAGCATTCTTCTATTTATCCTAACATTGAAGAAAAATTCTGTGCCGGCTAATGTGATTGTCAGTCACCTTTATCCTGTGGAGAAGAATACTCAGAAGCCACAATAATGTTTCTGTTATTTCATTCCAAATCAGTGATGCTTCTCTTAAGTGTATAGTCACAGAATGCTAACGATGGACTAGGTTATTAGCATGAGGTAACAATTCTCTGGCTGAAGGGAAGGGTAATGCATTGCAGTTAGAAGTTTTGTAGACTAGGAATGATTTCACAGTCATGCATTGAGGGAAGTGAGGTGTGTGTGTGTGTGTGTGTGTGTGTGTGTGTGTGTGTGTGTGTGTTGACAGTTGATACATGAGAATTTTCCTATTTTTATAGTTCAATGTGTACCTCATTTTGAAGAAATTGGGGGTCCAAGTTGGGCATCATATTTTTTCTTCATGGATAGGAAAAGTTTCAGTGTCCCCAAACTGTGCTCATCCTATTCATTCTGGAATAACCAGTGATCTTTATCACTTCCAGAAAGCCATGATCCACCTGTGTATCAGTCCCTTAAATCTGCTGCGAGACTATTGAACTAAGGAGAAGCCTTTGTTTTTCCACTTCGTCAGACTCCAGTACCTAAACAGTCTCTGCTCTGATGGCCAAAGGCTGTTCATCCACTGAAGGGCAGCTCAGCTTCTAGGAAAGCACACCAGCAGCCCAGGCTGAGTGCTTTGTACCTGTGTACAGTATTAACCTCCCATTTGTTGTGCATGATTGTTTTCCACATGAAGGCAAATTCCACCAAGGCAGACCTCATTTCTAATTCCTATATTCTCTAACAAGAAATGCACAAGGCTCCTCTGAACCTTGCTTTCAAGCTTGGATACATTTCAAGAGAAAAAGAATAGTATATAATAGATTTATTTAGAAAAAGTCCTTATCATTACATAATTGTCCCATGAATGAACAGTAAGCTCATTGAGGACAACATTCCTTTGGCCACAGCCCCCTTGTTGTTCAGATGTTCTCAAGAAAATAAAAAAAGGGAAGTGAGGAGGCTGAGGTCTCTTAACTTGAGAGAGGAAGGAACTTTGGAGACAAGGTTTCACTTGACGTTTTCACCTTTGCCTTCCCCCTTCGGCTTTCTTGCTTTTTGCTGTAAATCTGACCACATCAGGTACTGTATTGTTAGGTACTTCCTTTTGGTCAGCAACCTTACCCTTCCTCTTCAAGCTTTTGAAAACTTGCCCTTATAACTTACCTTTTGATTTTCTTTCATGTTTATTCTAGAACATTTGAAGCGACTGAACCATGACATCTTAAAGTGAAGTTGTTTGGGAATCCAATAGAGTTAAAAATAAGTCACTAATCGGAGATGCTAAAAGTTCTCTGTAGGGGTCCCTAGTCTCTACCTGACTCCTGAGAATTCAGTCAAAGTTCAGTTGTTCTAAGCAAGAGGAGGTGGGATCTGGGCAAAAGTTACAGTGCGAGATTTATTAAGTGTTAAGATATAGTTAAAATAATGTCCTGAGCACTCTTCATCTTTAAAGGAAGCCTTGACTATATTCTCATTTAGGTGTCATTATAGCCTGTGATTCCATACATCTATTTAGGAAAGTACTTGAGCATGAAAGTTAGTGAGGAGGCAGAGGACGTTTATTGCCATGAAATAGAATATTTCAAAACTAAGAAAGAGCCGGGCATAGTGACTCATGCCTTTAATCCCAGCACTCCGGAGGCAGAGGCAGGTGGATTTCTGTGAGTTTGAGGCTAGCCTGGTCTACAGAGTCATTTCCATGACAGCAAGAGCTACATAGTGAGATCCTTTCTAAAAATTCAAAACAAAACAATAAAACAACAACACAACAACAAAACTAAGAAAGATCATAAGGCTGGAGGAAAAAGAACTTGAAATACGTTAAGACCCTGTGTTTAGCCTCATCTTTAATGTAAAAAGAGGAAGCTGGAAAGTGCCACAGAGTACTTCACAACAGGGTTCTTTGCCTATTTTACTTATTTCATTTTACCAGCTCAGGAAATCCCATCTAGTCATTTCTTGATGCGTCAGACATAGCAGTTATACGATGGACATGATGCGCAAAGGCTTCTAACGTTGTCATGATCATGCCATTTCCTCTGCTCATTTATGAATGAACACTTGAACATGACTGTTTTCTGAGCAATTGCAGCTTGGGACTTAGTAGCCAGTTTCTGTTTTGAAGTACCCATGCTGGTAGAATCTTTGGTGGACCAAATTACACACTTGTTTGTTTCAAGAAAGGGATGTATTTGAACCTGATTTTAAATTTTATGATTTTTGTGCTTTTAATATAACACAATTATAGGTTGATTAGCAAATGATAATGAAATTGTAAGAACTATGTGTAAAGTGAGGTAAATTTGGTATCTTAAATTGTCTATCTTTTTTTGCATAGAGAAGATCTTTTTCGTGTGCCTTGGCCTCAAGTTTATGTGTTGAGGTTACAAAGCATGTGATAATAAGTTAATAATAAAATAGTACATAAGTGAATGATTATGTAACATACAGTGACATAGAAAATTTAAATTGTTTTTCTATGCTATCGGTTGTTTTTGTTTGCTTTTTTTCTGGTATTGCTCTTTAAGAAGTGTCTTGCTATATAGCACAGGTTGGCCTGAAAATTACTATGTGACTCAGTCAATTCTTCTGCCTCAGCCTCTTAAGCACCAGTATTATCCATATGAGCCACTACTCCAGGCTTGTACGTCTACTTTTACAAATTCCTGGCAATTATTAACTCAAGGTTCATAAGTCATTGGAAGATGCATATTCAGGAGAAAAGCTCATTTCCTCAAAACAAAAAGATGCATATTTCCAAGATACCTGTCTGGTATGCAGAAATTCCCAAAGAACTGGGGTGCTGTTTCTCTTTCTGCTTTGTAAAGTATACAAATGTCGGCTGTCATCAGAACACATCCTACCTTGGCATGGTTATCCTGAGTTGCATGTCTCTTACTCAGATTCATGGAAAAGAATGAAAGACAGTATTAAAGCCATTGAAAAACAAGGGAATGCTTCTATATACTATCATATCACCTGCAAATAGTGATACTTTGACTTCTTCCTTTCCAGTTTGTATCCCCTTGATCTCCTTCAGTTGTCTAATTGTCTAGCTAGAACTTCAAGTACTATACTGACTAGATATTGAGAGAGTTGGCAGTCTAATCTTGTCCCTAATGTTAGTAGAATTGCTCTGAGTTTCTCCTATTTAATTTGATATTGGTTATAGGCTTGCTGTAAATTGCCAGGCAATGCTTCCCATGGTGGTACTGGGACATCAACCCAGCCACAAAACCTTGAACCTACAATCTGTCCTGTTTGCAAATGTTCTGGGACAATGGTGGCACAGAACTTGTGGGAATGGCCAACCAATGACAGGTCTAATTTGAGGCCCACACCATGAGAGGGAGCTCATGCCCAGCACTGCCTGGATGGCCAGGAACTAGAGGCTGGATAGCTCAGAGACCTAAGGTAAAACCAAACATGACTGCCCCCAACCCCTCAAAAATTAGTGAAATTATTCCTAATGATATTCTGCTATTATGCTCAGTGCCTAGCCCAGTTGTCATCAGTGAGGCTTCCTCCAGCAGCCTATGGGAGTGGATGCAAAGACCCACAGCCAGACATTAGGTGGAGCTCAGGGAACCCCACAGAAGATGGGGAGGAAGAATTACAGGAGCCAGAGGGGTTGAGAACACCAGGAGAACGTGGCCCACAGAATCAACTAAGCAGGACTCATAGACTGAAGTGGCAATGATGGAGCCTGCATGAGTATGCACTAGGTCCTTTTCATACATGTTAGGATTGTTACCTTGGTGTTTTTGTGGGGCCCCAACAGTGGGAGTAGGGGTGTCTCTGACTCTTCTGCCTGCTCTTGGGACCCTTTTTGCCCTACGGGGATGCCTCTTTCAGCCTTGTTATGAGGTTGTGCCTATTCTTATTGTATCTTGTTAGGCCCTAGTTGGTGGATATCCCTGAGAGGTCTGCTCTTTTCTGAAGGGAAATGGAGGAGGAGTGGATCTGGAGGGGAAGGGGAAGAAGGGATCTGGGAGGAGTGGAGGAGGGGGAAACTGTAGGCAGGATGTATTTATTGTATGAGAGAAGGATTAAAAAAAAGAATCGAAATAAAAAATGATAAACATCCAAAAAAGGAATAAAGAAAAACAAGGGAAGAATATTATTACTGCCAAGTATTGTATAGAAGTGATTGTTTATAATTCCCTATTTAACTTGACCATAGTAGTGCTGATATTAGAAAATGTAAAATGTGATTACTGGCTAAGAAGTAATACAAACAAAATAATGCCGATAAATAATGCAGTAGAGATCTCATCATGACTTTAAAGCCTCAGTTTTTCTAATTATTAGCATATAACCATGGACAAGTTCTTTAGCATTTCAACCTCATCTGTAAAACAGAATTCATAATGTTATTTTGTGGGGAGGATGAAACTAATTAATTAATTGTTTGTTAGTTTGTTTTTTGAGACAGAGTTTCTCTGTGTATCCCTGGTTGTCCTGGAACTTGCTTTCTAGACCAGGCTGGCCTGAAACTCAGAGATCTGCCTGCCTCTGTCTCCAGAGTGCTGAGATTAGAGGTGTGTGTCATTACCACTCAGTGAAATGATTTATTTTTAAAACAACTATTTATTATGTGCTAGCTATGTACCACATTGGGCTAGTGGAGGTAAAGTACTGAAAAATAGTACTGAGGAAAATTATGGAATTGTGCACTAGAAATCTTTGTGGGAAATAATTGCTGCATTATCTATGGTCCTACTAGAAGATCATACTGATTCCAGTTTTGCTTTTGTGTTTTAGGTGAAGAGTCATGTGAAGTACAAATTAAGGTTAACAGGCATTCGGAATATGTCACAACAGGAGAGCACTTTAAAATTAAATGTCCTGTGACATACTGTGATCACAGACCTAATGTGACTTGGTGCAAGTACAGTGGAAAACAATGTTTACCTTTTGAGTTTGGACCTCAGAAACACACTAGTTGGGAAGAAAAGCCAGAGGCTTCGGTTTTTATTCTCCATTTTAAACCAATAAATGCCAGTGATGGTGGATCATATAGCTGTTCTACAAACTTTAATTCTAATGTTATTTACAGCCGCACAATAACCATCAATGTGACAGGTGAGTGCTCTACCCCAGGCCATCTATGGCTTTTTTTCATTGCGTTTCCATGGAAGAGACAACCCAGACTTGCAGATGCTTTGGTTAGAAGTTGGAACACTTGTATCACATCCACAGTCTACCACATCTTCCAGACTGTGACAGTCATAAATACATAAAGTATTTGTGTAGGGGAAGAGAAGGGTGAGGCAAGAACAGTAGAGGAAAAATAATGGAAGTTACTGGTCTTTTTTTGAGGTAGGGTCCAGCTGTTCTGGAACTCTCTTTGTAAACCAGGCTGTCCTGGAACTCACAGAGACCCACCTGCCTCTGCCTCCCGAGTGCTGGGATTAAATGTGTGTGCACTACCACAGCAGGCAGTTATTGATTGTTCTTGCCTTTAGAGATTAAAACATTTATTGGACAAGTTCAAAAATGATCACAACAACATTGTTTTCTTTTTCCTTAATTTTTTTTCTGTTGTTGGCTCTTGTTGATTAGAATTTGTAGAAGTTATGTTTACATAAGCAGCAGATTTGTAGCATGAATTAACAGATAAAGATGTAAAAATACCCTATTGTCATCAGCTTGGAAGACTGTTATAAAGATGGCAGTCCCCAAGATTGAACATCATTGTCTCCATCAAATCTTATTTAATTCTAAAATTCACATCATGTTGTAACAGACTCCAAGAAGCCAAAATAAACTGGATAAAGAAGAGAGTTGGAAGTTTACGACTTCTCTATTTCAAAACTCATTATTAAAATATAGCTATTTAAATACTGTTGTGAGATCAACATAGCAGAATTGAGAGTCTAGAATAAAATTCTGTATAGGATCAATTGACTTTTTATATTATTTTGATTTTCTCTGTGTGGGTGTTTTAGCCTGCATGTATGTCTGTGTACTACACATATGGCTTGTGTTTCTGGGACTGAAGTTACAGATGGTTTGATCTTCCATGTGGGTTCTGGGAATTGGGCCTGGGTCCTCTGGAAGAGCAGCTAATATTCCCAACTACTGAGCTTTCTTTATGCCTCTCAATTGTTTTTTGTTGTTACTTATTTTTGTTTTGCTTTGCTTTGTTTTTTGAGACAGTGTTTCAGTATGTATTTTTTGCTATCCTGAAACTGGCTATGGAGACTAGGCTGTACTGAAAATCAGAGATCCACTGCTGCTTCCTCCAAATACTGGGCTTAAAAGTATGTGTCACCTTGCCCAATGCCCTCAACTGATTTTTGAGAAGTAAGATAAAAATCATCCATATGGGAAAGAAAAGTCTCTTTAACAATAGCAACTGGGAACTTAGCTCAATGGTAGAGTTCTTACGTACTATATTGGAGGCTCATGATTTGATTCCTTGCACAAAAAAAGAAAAAAAAATCCACCAAAAATGACAAAGAAAGAAGGAAAAATAACCCCAACACAAATGATGTTGAGATATAATTGTATATACATATGCCAAAATTGAATTTGAACCTCCTGCTTCATACCATGTAAATAAGTAAGTCAGTAGGAGAAGGAAGAATAAAGGAGAAGGAAATGATGGGAGTTGAATGAACAAAATTCATGATATATGTGAATGAAAATGTCAAATAATAAAAAGCCTCAAAATTGATCAGAAATTTAAATATAAGAAATTAATCTACAAAACTACTTTTACACAAAACCATACATATGCATAAAAAGCTAAGTCTTGATCTTTTATTTTGTAATCATTTCCTAGATATGATTATAAAAGCATACAACAAAAGCAATAGCAGTGGAGTAGACTTCATCACAATTCAACATGTTTCTGCATCAAGAGTGAAAAGGCGCCTCACAGAACATGAGAAAGTATTTGAGATCACATGCCTAATAAGAGACTATTGCCCAACATATATAAAGATGCACCAGAGCTTTCTCCATACCTTCCTGCATCACTTCAAGGAGGAACCTTTCCAAGCTGAACAGCATTACTTCCCATTGCCTTATCTTTGTGTGTGTGTGTACATATATGTGTCTGCACATGTGTGTACGTGGAAGGCAGAGATTGACATCTGGTGTCTTATTTCCACCTTATTTTTTGAGATAAGATCTCTCAGTGAACTTGGGACTCAATGGAACAACTGTTAGGCTGGCTAGTCATTGATAACCTGGGATGCTCCTGTTGCTGCCTCCTTAGCACTGGATGACAGACAGGAGCTGCCATGTTCTCTCTCTTATGTGGATACTGAACATTCAACGTAGGTCCTCAATCTCACACATGTGACGCATCTTCCCAGGACCAGCCTTACACATCCCCATCATCACCTTCCTATGCCACTCTCACCCATTTCAGAAGATCCATTTTTATACCTATCACAACTATACTTTTCCTTTCAAGCCCTGATTATTGCCCAAGTTCTCCAGGAAACCTCCAGGATTACTCTCAATGAACTGATTCTGCAGTCTGTCAATTTGCTTATCATTCAGGTCTATGTCTCTCATTTATCATACATTTCCTTTCCCTGTGCATTATATAAAAATACGTCAAGTTTCATAAGAGCTTATAGTGCCTTACAAAATAGAAATCATGTCTTGCTTTTTGTGGTTGTTTTTCTTTTGTAGAAGTCACATACATTTCTTTTTAGGATTAGTTTAAATTTCAGCTGAGTATATAGTCTCCTTTAGGGAAATGGTGATTACAGGGAAAGAATAAAAATATTCTTTTTATTTTTGAACCCAAGAGTATTCTGGGAACTGCTTATGAAATGAGGAAATAAATATGTCCTGGGACTATGGTTATGCTTGTAATTAGTAAAATTTGGAGATATAATACAAGTATTTTGTTTTTTACCCTTTGAAATATCTTTCTGAGGGGATGTTGGAAATGCCCCTGTTTTTGCATATGTTTTGCTTTTTATGTTCATGATAGGAATTGGTTTGTGTAAGGACAATTGTGGACAGAAGGAGGCTTGGCTATTCTTGAGAAAGTAACTGTCTTCCAGAATGATGAAAGGCACCTTGTGAAACAAACCAGTGTCCAAGGGGATTATCTCACAGAGCCAGGAACAGCCCCTGCATATTATAAAACTCCGCGATTCTCAATCGTCCCAGGTTAGTTTCTGAGTAGGGACATTAGATAAATGCAGAGGTCATTATCGAGATGAGTGTTGAGTGAGAAGGCAGGGAGTGAGAAGGCAGGAATTGAGAGGCACAATCTTTGTTTCAGAATGAGCACCTTGACTGACTCTCACCCAGAGCGTCCACAGTCTCAGAAGCACCTGAGGGTTATGTGTTTTATTACATTGCAGGTGTCAGAGGTCACACATGGTCTCTGTGTCCTTATGCCTAAGGAATGAGGAGGAGAGAACCAAAGCAGTCAGTTTAAGGTTATACTGTGTTGATAGCAGTCTTTCTTCAGACTTGAAAAGAACTCCTTTGCTTTGTGTACCATGATCTCAAGGTGAAGATCCATGAATTATGCAAGCTGAACTTGGCCTGGATTATTGGATTCTCTGTTGTCGTGGCAACACTGGAGTCCTTTCTAAATAGCTCTGACTTTAGAGATAACATTGAGTACTACCTTAGTGTTTTCTCAAGCCATTTTAATACTTAATCTTGTTTTCTGTTTCAGAAAGGACTCAAAATGATTCAGAACACCATCTAATAAGTAAGTATGAAACCAATCAAAATTAGCAAGTTTGTTTGGTGTTCGGATAAATAATGGGAATAAGGTCTTCTTAATTGAGTTTGTTTGTATTAGATTATCTATTGTTTGCCAGCAGACTGCCTTCCCCCAGACAGCTGCATCTGCTTCTTGGCTGCTTGCCCAACCTAAACAGCAGCTGCAGTAATTCGCCACCATTCTGTACCATTAAACTATATGCTCACTGTATGTCCCCTTCAACTGCTCCTGATTGTTTTTACCCTCAAAGAGAGGATCTGGGGTATGTGTGTGTGTGTGTGTGTGGAGGGGGAATCACACACATAATTCAAACTTTATTTCACTGCTTTTGATACTCAGTATCAAAATAACAGTAACTCCAAAGAAGCAGTACATCTTACATCATAAGCCAGAACACACACACAGGAAAAGCAAATCCACACAATCCATAGATAGTGGAGTTGTTTGATTTCCGTGCTATGGGAATGGAAGAGTGCCCTGTGTAGTGCAGGGATTTTATTAAGCCCTTGACTTTCCCTTACTAGATGCAGGTACTCTCCCACCTTGTGATACCAGAAAGGTCTCCCAAAACTACCACATGTTTCTGGAGCGTGAGAGATTTTCTGGTTGAGAACCACTGCATGTACTATGAATTCAGATATTTTGTAGTTTGTCTTATATTATTAAAACACTACTATTTGGGGGGGGGGAGGTCTAGAGAGATTGCTCAGCAGTTAAGAGCACTGGCTGCTCTTCCAGAGGACCTGGGTTCAATTCCTAGCACCCACACGGCAGCTCACAACTGTCTATAACTCAGTGAATCCAACTCTCTCACAAATGCAAGCAGGTCAAACACCAATGCATATAAAAATAAAAGAAAATATGTTTAAAAAAACTACTATTTTTTGATTCACTGAGTTGTGTCACAACTTATTTGTAAGTCAATTTTAACACTGATCAGTCATAATGAGCACTAGCTAGATGCTAAGAAAAGCATATTTGGTAAGAATAAAAGTATTTGATGTTTGGAGATAATGATGTCTTATGAGAGAGAGCAAAGGTACAGCATCAGAAACCCTCTGGCAGGAGTCCCAACTGCCATTCATGAGCTGTCTGTCTTTGGGCAATTTTTGGAGCAATAACATTCCTTTCAAGTTCTAAAACTGTATAAAGAAAATGGTTTCATGAGCTCTGAGCTAAATATATAAATGAAAGGGCCTGGTGAAGTAGTTTGTGAGAACTGTCACAGAGATCTTTCTTCAGATGACTTGTTCAAGACGAATGTGAGATGTTCACAAAAGTTAAAAAGAGTAGGTTGATGGTACTGGGACCACCAAAGGAGAAATAGAGGACTTGAATTATTGTCATAATTCAAACTATGACAATGCAAAAGGGTATTGTTAACTCTAATGCTTCTAGAATGTCTTAATTGTTTTCAGCACCGTCTGACATCCCAGATGCCACCAACGCCTCAGGACCACCCACCACGGAAGAGAGGCTGGACATGATCTGGCTGCTTTACAGCTTGCTTCCTTTGGGGGCATTGCCTCTGCTGCTCGCCTGTTTCTGCCTGGTCTGTTTCCTGAAAAGGCGCCAAGGTGGGTTGCAATTTCCCTCTGCCCTCATGTACCACACACTTGGGGCCCATTTTCTAGAGCATAAATTTTTTTTTGTTGGCTAGTGTTTTCTTTCTGAATAACGATTCCTGGGGAACTACTGGTTTCCACTAGAAAACTGAATGGGCTAAGGTGGGCTCTCTCCAGGCATGATAAGGCATATTCACCACATCACAATGCTAGCCTGGAGTTGTGGCGAAGAGGGCACATTACTGGAGTATTCTCATTCTATACACATCAATCTCAGGTGTGTATAAAGACAGCGTTTTCCTAAACTTTAATCAGGTTGAAAGGCAGGTTGAAATAATCTCTTGAATGAACATGTTTGATTTGAGTTATTCTTTTTAAGACCTTTCCACAGCTATACCACATAATTCCAATGATACACACCCTTATCTAAATAAAGAACCATTGTCCCCAGAAGGGATTCATGTGCGTTTGTACTTTCTATTCTGTCATAAACCCATGCTTGCGTCAGATTTTTACTCAGTAGTGTTGCATTTGAAAATGTGGACTTGCCTACAATAAGAGAGTTGTGATATTTCTAAAACAGTTGCCTTTTCCTTTTGAAATCATGTCTTCATCATCATCACTGAACAGTGAAACTCAGCAAGAGAGGCATGCTGATCTGGTCCATCTATATTTTCTGTTTCCTGTTCTTCTCCTTGTCTTCCCCTCCCCTTTTTCTACAATACAAGCCACAGTGTAGCTGTAGAAACTGAGCCAGACAGAGCATCCCTTGTTTGGCTGCCACAAGAGAAAGCTTTGTCTGGATGGAAGAGCTTCTGGTGTTTTGAAGTAAGTGCTTCTGGATCCCAGAACCTTTTTACAGTTCTAAGGAATCCCCCTGTAAACCCAGCTCTGCTTCTGTAACTACACAGCACAAGAAACTAGAATAATCTTTATTGGTCATCATATCCAAAGGGAATTGGGAGCATGGGTATGTGACAAGAACATTAGTTACATTTTTATAATTCTGTTTGTTGAGAATTTCTTACATGCATACAATACATTTTGACCATTGTCACACTGTCCTTTTCTCTAACCCCTCTAGTCCCTCCTAGATCCTCCTCCCAATTACACACACACACACACACACACACACACACACACACACACACACACACACACCTCTTAGGTTTTTTGTTGCTGTGAAGAGACACCATAACCATGGGAACTCTTATAAAGAAAACATCTAATTGGAGTGGCTTGCTTATAGTTTTAGATGTTCAGGCCATTATCATCTTGACAGGGAGCATGGCAGCATGCAGGCAGAAGTAGTGCCAGAGTAGTAGCTGAAAGCCCAACATCTTGCAAGCAACAGGAAACTGACTGACTCACTGGGTGGTATCTTGAGCAAAAGAAACTTCAAAGCTTATCCCGACAGGGGCACATTTCCTCTAGCAAGGCCATACCAATTCCACCAAAAATCATACCTCCTAATAGTGCCACTTCCTATGAGATTATGGGGGTCAGTTACATTCAAACTACTACATTCCATTCCGTGGCCCCCATAAGCTTGTATCAATATCATAATGCAGAATTCATTTAGTCCAACTTCAAAAGTCCCCCATAGTCTATCACAGTCTCAACAGTGTTTAAAAGTCCAAAGTTCAAAGTCTCTTCTGGGATTCATGCAATCTCTTAACTGTAATCATCTGTAAAATCAAAATCAAAAAGCAGATCACATACTTCCAACATATAATGGCACAGGATATACATTACCATTCCACAATGCAGAGAAGGGAGCATAGTGAGGAAATATGCGACCAAAACCTGACCAAAAACCAGCTGAGCAAACTCCAAACTTTGCATCTCCATGTCTGATGTCAAAACACTCTTCAGATCTCCAATTCTGTTCAGCTTTGTTGACTGAAACACACTTTTGTTTTCCTTTTGGGCTGGTTCCACTCCCTGTTAGCAGCTCTTCTCAGCAAGTATCCCATGACTCTGGCATCTCTACCATCTTGCATTCTCCAAAGCAATCCAGGCTTTAACTTCATAGCTTCATGAAATGACCTCTCTACTAGGCCTCCATTCAGTGATGCCCCTGTCACATGCCTGGCCTCAGTGGCTTTCTTTAGGTACACAAGCACATTACATAACCAATTTTTTTCTGCCCTTAACTCGAGAGGCAGAAACACGTGGCTGAAGCTGCCAAGTTCTGCTGCTTACTGGGGCTGGAACATGGAATACTCATTCAATTATATCTTCACCAGCTTTCTGTCCTTTACTGCTTAAGGTTGGCTGTCCTGAGACTTGCTCTCTAGACCAAGCTGACCTCACACTCAGAGATCTGCCATGCTCTGTCTTCCCAGTGCTAGGATTAAAGGCTTGCACTACCACACCCATCTCTAAGCTTTTCTTTAATTCATAAGTTGGAAATTTAGTTGGACAAGGGCAAAAAGCAGCCACTTTCTTCACCAAAATATCCCAAGAAGAATCTCTAGGCAACATACTAAAATTATTCTCCTCTGTAACCTTTTGAACAAGCTCCCCACAGTTCATCAAATTGCATTCAGCATTACTGTCTTCCATGCCCCTACTAGTATGGCCCATCAAGCAGTGCTTAAAGCATTCCACTATTTCCTTAACCCAAAGTACCAAAGTCCAAATTCCTCCAAACAAAAACATGGGTCTGGCCTATCACAGCAATACCCCAGTCCCTGGTATCAACTTCTGTCTTAGTTAGCATCTCTATTACTGTGAAGAGACACCATGACCATGGCAACTCTTATAAAGAAAATATTTAAGTGGGGTGACTCCCTTACAGTTTCAGAGGTTCAACCTTTATCATCACGATAGGGAGCATGGTGGCATGCAGGCAGATATGGTGTTGGAGTAGTAGCTAAGATTCCTATATCTTGCAAGCAACAGGAAGTCGACTGACACACTGGGCAGTATCCTGAGCATAGGAAACCTTAAATCCCACCCCCACAGTGACACATTTCCTCCAACAAGGCCATAAACACTCCACCAAAGCCACACTTCCTAATAGTGCTATTCCTTATCAGATTATTGGGGCCAATTACATTCAAACTACCACAACATATATCCCATTGAGCCAATTACTGTTGCTCATATACATATAGCTGTGGAGATTCACTGAGGTATGGTAACCTGCCAGAGATGATCCCCTCCCCCTGCAAAAGAACTAACTCTTCCTCTCCTAGCATCTACTATCTGTCATGAGCTAAAGGTTGCAGAGCTCCAGTACTGCCATGCTGGCTGTCTTAATCTTGCACAGGTCTGTAACAAGAAACCACAGGTGTTATGAGTTACTTGATACAATGGCACAGTCACATCCAGGAGGCAGTTTTTCCTCAGTCTTCACCAACCTCTGGCTCTTACACTATTTCTTCAATGTTACCTGAGCCTTGGGGGAGGAGTATGCTATAGATGTCCCATCTATCGTAGAGCTGACAGAAGCACTTTTAACATCGAGACTGCAATGACTCCCAACCTTTGAAACTGTTCTTCATTAGATCCTACTCCTTCCTTCGTCTTGGATGTGAAGACTGTTGTATGACATAAGAAGTGAGGGGAAGGAAGTGGGCATGTGCATTCTCACAGGCCGAGATGTGTGTGGTCCAGGTAGCAAGGCAAAGCTAACAGTATGAGTGCTGGAGTGCATGAGGTGGGTGTGGTGGGAAGATCATTTACCTTGCTTTCTTAATACCATTTGATGACCATTTTTCTTTCTTTCTTTTCAATCTTTCAGGGAAAGGAAAGATGCCTTCTGACTTAGCAGAAAGGGACGTTAACCTGGTACGTCTGAAATATCTGCTGAGACAAACACATTTTATGTTACACCATATGTATTTTTTCAGTAAGTTTATATGACATTATCACACACACACACACACACACACACACACACACACACACACACACTCCAGATTTTTCATGTCAGCTGTGATTGCTTGTATAATACTTGTATAAGATAGGGCCTCTAAACAACTTGCTATGGAGTGGGGAGGAAAAGATGGTAGTCAAAAATGGATGGGGAGAGAGCCGTTTTCAGTGTGCTCACTGTAAATAAACCCTCGCTTATATTATTGTAAGCCACTGAAATGAAATTCATTGTGGGAAAAACCATCAAAATAGAAAGGGAACAGGTTGGGAAGAGGAAGGGGATTGGGAGGATTGGGAAGGGGACAAGAGAGACTAATGGAGGGTGACTATGAACAAACCTATTGTTTACATCTATGTCATTACACATTATTATGTGTAGTTACTATATGCTAATGAAACATAAAAAATAACAAAACAGAAAAGTACAGGGTTCTGATCTTATTTCAAAATAGTCCTTCTGAGGTAATGATTCTCAACCTTCTTAATGCTTCGACCCTTTAATACCTCATGTTGTGGTGACCCCCAACCATAAAATTATTTCCATTGCTACTTTGTAACTGTAATTTTACCACTGTTATAAATCATAATGTCAATATTTTGGGAGATAGAAATTTGCCAAAGGGCTCGTGACCCACAGGATGAGAACCACTGTTCTAAGGGAATAAAAGTGGTTGTATAGACAAGTCCACTTGGTCATAACACACTTAAAAGGGTTAGACTTTTTGAAAGTGAGTTATAAACCAGCATGCTTGTTTTTAAAAGAGCCGTACAACTGCAATAGGTCTTCAAGGTGAGATGTCTGCCTGTCTAACAGCCTTTATTGTCTCTGGCCATCACATCACAGTGCACCTGCCTTGTGGCACCCGCTGCTTTTTATAGAGTGTTACAGAACTTCAGGTGCAAAGAATTATGTTCATGTTAACAGAGTTTTCATGACAATGAGCCATTCTGGTGAAGAGAGCCAAGCCAACTGAACTGACAGACTAAGATTGGAAAATATAGCAGGGAACCTCGGTGGTAGACAGTGAATTTGCCACTCTTTAGCAATTCATTTGACAGTCTTCCGCGCCCCCCCCCCCATGCAGGCTCATTTCATGAGGGGGTACTTTCCATCTTAGCCAACCCACTCTTGGCTCTGTCAGGCCTCCAGCTTCCGTGTGATTTCTGGGTGCTCACCTCACAGGAAAATTGCAGCGTATCAGCAGTTATTGCCTCATTTCTCAAGTTAGGACTAAGCGTGCTTTGAGGACAGAGCTTTCCTCAGTAGGTATAAGAGAAATCCTGCTGCGTATGTCACAGTGAGACTTACCAAGGACTAGAGGAGGGTGACTAGTCAAAGATCAAGAACCTGGCAACTTTTAGGAAGAGCATAACTTGGCTGGCAAAGTGGAGATTTAAAAAGTCAAAATAGAGCCCTGGGGGAAATGGACCAGTGGGTAAAGCACTCTGTGCAAGCGTGAGAACTTGGTTTGGATCCCACAACTTATGCCAAATCTGGATGTGGTTGCACACACTTTAAAACCCAGTGGTGGGGGAAGAAGTGAAAACTGGTTGAACCAGGCACTCATTGGCCATCCAGCCTAGCTGAAAGTATACTTGAAGTACCAGCTTCAGTGAGAACACCTTTCTCAATAAATAAGGTAGAGAGGAATAGAGGAAGAAACCTGACATGACCTCTGACCTCTACCTGTACACACATGGGTGAATGCACCTACCCACACACATACAGATCCACCCCTCCCCCCTTCCACACATGAGAATTAAAACCCTAAATATTAACACAACATCATTCTTACCATCTGCATTTTTGTATAACCAGGAGAAGCTAACAAATAACTGAAAAGGGGGAGAAAAGATCAAAATTCACTTCAGTTTCCACAGATTTCTCTCTGTCTCACACCATTTAGGTCTCTGGCACTATTTAAAAGTATGATGATTTTTTTTTGCAGTAGAAATAACAAATAGAATAGTATTTTAGGACTTAATTGAAACTTTGTTCTTTCAAAATTGGCTTCCATTGTCTAGTTTAGCTCTCTCATCATAATGTGTATTGGATAACCCATGATGCTTCCTGTTCCTGCTTTCCGAGGAGGTCTCAGGTCTTTTTGCCTTGGGCTTGATCTTTTGATGTTCTATGTATTATATGCCAATGTGTTATAAGCTGCCTAAAATTTTCATAGAGTTATTTTTCTCTTCCAATGAACTGGACAGTGATTTTTTTCCATGGAAAGAGCATTGTGTGTATGTGTTGTGACCTTAAATGGCCCATAATACAGCACAAAACAACTGTTTGGGAAGAACGTAGTGAACTTCAAATATTTGGCCTTTGGGGCTCAGTGGTCAAGAAACTATCTAGCACTCATGAGGACCTGGACATAACATAAAATAACACAACACAAAACAAAACAACAACAAAAAAAAAACAATCCAAACCAACCAAACAACCCCACCCCCAAACAAACCAACCCTTTCATCCTTTGATTATACAAAGTTTAGTGAAAATGTAGATATTAAGTAACTTACATGAGGAACAATAGACGGTCTCTCTCAATGTGCAAAACAACATGTAGCCTTTCACTCAGAGTCTAATAATCAATATGTTTTGCTGCATCCTTACGTGCTACATCTCTTTTCTCTTGTAGGTTGATATCCCAGTGAGTCCCAGGACAAATTCCCAAACACTGCCATCAGAAACTGGCATTTATGATAACGATCTCTGGTCAAGTGTCCAGGAAAGTTCTGAATCTACAACTAACTCCCAATTGGAGGGAAACAAACAGGGCATTGTTTATGCTTCTCTGAACCATTCTGTTATTGGAAGGAACCCAAGACAGGCAAAGAACATAGAAGAGGCACCCACAGAATATGCATCCATTTGTAGGAGAAGTTAAATCTGGTACTGACATAGACTGTGAGCACTGTAGGATGGACTTGTCAATACCACTGTCTCGACCTTTGGGGTCAAATAACTTTCTTCAACCCGGGAATTTTCACGTCAAGATGGTTCGTACTGGGCTGTGTCCGAAAGGTCCATAGAATATTTAGTTAAAATTTCTGCTGAAAACTTTGGAAGAGTTTTGTACAAGAGCCTTGAACAAAAGACTTTTCTCTGGGAAAACTCATATCGCAAATAGTAGAATAATAGAATGTTTAAATTTGACCATGTCTTACCCAAGGTGTGAATTTAATATTTCCTTTGGAACTCTCAGAGAGACTTGCAGGGAAGAAAGAAGTGTGACATTTGGATCAACTCACTACACATTCTAGAAAAAGGATGGCCCAATTTGACTGACTAATCATAAATACAGTAATGATTGTATGTTCCCAATCTTCCATGATAACACAATTTCTCATGTCAAGCTATAGCTAAGGTTTTATTTTTCTTAATATAAAGGAAAATTATCTTGGACCCAATTCAGAAAAATATTAGAAAAGGTAATTGGTACAATACAGGTACAGAAGATGCCGAGCAGAGGTGGGGCCAATGTACATTATCCCTGCTAATGAGATGCTCATTACCACCCTGCTAAATCAAGAAAGTTGGGTAGGACAGGATTCATCAATGTATAGTGAGCACTTTTGTAATCAGAGCGGTAGTGTTCGGATCAAGCAGAGTAATGTGCATGAATGTGATGCAATGCTACCGAACTAATACACGTATGAACATATGAACAAGAGTCAACGGGAGGAGAGATTATAAGGCGAATCCAGATTGAACTTTTAAACCACCGTGTGCTTTACTCGAGAGCCAATTCAAAGGGCCATTCAGAAAAAGAAAGAATCTGGAATATGTAGTTGATCAGTAGGCGTTGACATACTTTCATGAATGTCTGTTTCTTGCTTCTTATCAAGTGAATCAGGACGAATCATATGTAATGAAATATGGCATATGGAGGTCATTCAGGTTTAAATTCTGACATTGTAGCTGCTTGAGAGGATAGATTTTTCAGGTGTGCTGAATTTCCAGATTACTTGAGTCTAATTATTTAAAACATAGCTCGTAATTTTATTCATCAGCCTGAGGCTTGAGTTCTCTGACTCTGAAACTGAGTATCGTCATCATTTTAGTATGCAGTGGATGGCAAAAGCTAGAAGCCACTAGAACAAACACATGAGCTGCTGAATGAGTGAATATGGTCCAAGTAATTGTGCAGGTGTGTGTGTGTGTGTGTGTGTGTGTGTGTGTGTGTGTGTTCCTGTGCCCATGCATGCTAAAATGAAAACGTAAGACATGACTTACAGAAACAAGACAAGAAACCAATCAGATTGCTGCCCTATTTTTAGTTTGCTTAGGAGGTACAAATCATAGAACCAACTGGGCATTAAAGAAAATAAGTTCTGACACGGTGGGAATAGGAATGTTGTTAGAGAAGGTATTCAGAAACAGACAACGAAGAGGCCTTGCTGAGAAATTTCTCAGCCACTGCTCACATCAGGTTTCAGTTCCCTGGATGTGGGACAGCAGACACTGTTTTCAGATACTCTTGCAACCAACTCTAGGTAAGCTCTTTCAACCAGGTGCATTTGTGGGTATTTATGCAAAAAAAAAGTCTTAAAATAGCTGCTTTAGCTGCTCATCTTCAAAACGGAAACAGGAAGTATGGGGGATGAGCACAGCACCCTGTCCCTCTTATCAGATCAGCATGTGAGTGGAGCAATTCTATCAGAATTGTCTCCAGCTTTAAAAACAAAATTCTTCTGCCAATTTTGTTTAAAACAATCTTTGAAAACCGCTGTGTGTGTATGTATATCTGCGTATGCCTGTATGTGTGTGTGTGTTGTATGCGTGTTGTGGCATATGCACACGTGTGTGCAGGAGCCAGAAGAGGACGCCAGGTGCCCTTTCCTATTGCTCTCCACTTCACTCAGTTAGGGACAGGTCTCTCCTTGAACCCGGAGCTAGGCCTGTAGACAGCAAGCACCGTGATGGATCCTTCTGTCTCTGCCCCCCATGTTGCTAGGGCTATCTGCTCATGCCCAGCTTTTTACACGGGTGTGGGCCATCCAAACTCAATCCCTTGCACAGCAAGCGCCTTTACCTGCTGAGCCATGCCCGATGCTCTTAGCTGGGTGGTGGAGGCACACGCCTTCAATCCCAGCACTCGGGAGGCAGAGGCAGGCGGATCTCTATGAGTTCGAGGCCAGCCTAGTCTACAAATCAAGTTCCAGGACATCCAGAGCTGTTACACAGAGAAACCCTATCTTGAAAAACCAAAAAAGAAAAAAAGAATGTTATTATTATATTTTATAGTGAAAGGCACTGCTAGAGATTTCACCTCTATGGATGGTCCATTATGTTTATGTTTGTACCGTGCTTATCAAAAATCACATATCATTTATGCTCTTATTCCTACTTAGAAATATATATATATATTTTCTCAAATACATCTGTTCCAGGATTATTTTCATGTTTATTTAAGTTACAGATGGTAGATAGTTTTATGATTTCCACGAACTTTAAGATTGTTGATTGTTCCCAGTAAGACAGTAAAATTGTTAAAATTTACCTGAGATTGAAGAAGCCAAAATTTACCAGTAGCTAGAACACTGAAGAAGACCCCCTCCCCACTCTGGCCTGGCAATCAACCGCTAATAACTCAGGAGGCAGGAGCAACCATTGTAAGCCCCTTCCCCATCCATGAAGGACATTGATGGCACCACTCTTGTGCAGGTCTTGCCCAAGAAAACCCAGCTGTTGTGAGTTCATGGGTACAACACTCGTGTCATGGCCCAAAGCCAGCATTACAGTGCTCCTTCCTGTGTCCCAGCTCAAACGTTCTTTCCCCTCTGTCTTCCTTCACCTTTCTTAATCACTGGAAGGGATGCTACACATGTCACATTTACAGGTGAGCGCTCAACAGTCACTTTATCTTGACCCTTTGACCAGCTCCAAGTCTCCGCATTGACCACACCCACCACATTAAGAAGTTCTTCTGACCAAGACTGAGAGCAGTCCAGATCTAGGGGTATAAAGGTAAGTATGTCAAAACCTGCTTGACCAGCTGACAATTTACCGGGCATTTTCTCTATTTTTCTTTTATTAAAAATAGTTTTTTTTTCATACAATATATTCTGATTACAGCTTCTCCTTCCCCAATGCCTCCAAGGCTCTCCCCATCTCCCCTCCCATCCAAATCCACACCCCTTCTGTCTCTGCTTACAAAACAATCCGGCATCTAAATAATAATTATAAAACAAGAAAACACAAAAATGAACAAATCCAAGTAGGACAAAATAAACAGAAAAAGCATGAGAAACACAGATAGATGCCATGAGACACATGTTCACACACATAGGAATCCCATGAAAACACAGGACCAGAAGTCATAATATAAACACGAAGGACCTGTAAGATTAAAAAAGAATATGCCCTGACCAAACATTATGAGACAAAGAGCATCCAGAGATTCCACTGAATTCATTGTGTGCTGTCCATCTGCTGCTGAGCAGGAGGCCTGCTCTGAAGAGTAGTTTGTATATCCAGTAAGAGTCCATTGTAGAATATTAATTTTCCATTTGTGAGTGGTTATCCATTGGAGATGGCTTCTGGGTTAGGGATGGGGGCTTCTGTCCACATCTTTCAGCTCAAAAACCCCCTCTGGTACAGACCTGTGCAGACCCTGTACAAGCTGCCTCCGTCTCTGTTTCTGTGAGTTCATATGTGTGTCTGTCCTGCAGTGTTTAGAAGGCCCTGTTTTCTTGGTGCCCTCTTTGCCATCTGGCTCTTACATTCTTTCAGCCTCCTCTTAGGCAGGGTTTCCTGAAGGGAGGGGTTTTATGAAGACATCCTGTTTAGGACGGAATGTTTCAAGGTCTCTCACTCTGTACATGCATCTGGATGTGAGTCTCTTATTTATTTCCATTTATCCCCCAACAAAAAATGAACTCAGTTTTTTTTTTTTGTAGACTTTTTGTCTCATATTGCTTTGCTTGGGATTTTTTTTCCTTATTGGTATTTTGCTTGTGTATTATAGTTTATAATTCTGTGTTTTCATGGGTTCTGTTTGTGCTTGGGTATGTACATGTCTCTTGTGCTTTCTCCTTTAAAACATTTCTTTACTCTGGTTTGTTTTCTAAAGAGGTAAAGAAAGGGTGTGGAGTTGAGTGAGTGGGGATGATCTGGGAGGAGTTGGGCGAGGGGAAATCATATTCAGAATATATCTTATGAAAAAAATATCTTCAATAAAAACACATAAAGAATTAACATAATTAAAAATTAAAACTTTTCATCAGAGTAAATATCAAGAAGAAAACACAGAAGTTTTCCATGTGCAGTTTTCTGCAGTGTGCACAGCTGGCCCCCATCAGCATCCTGCAGGACAGGAGACTAGTAAATGAGGACCAATGCTAAGATATCATTATCAATCAAAGTCTCTAGTGTGCCTCAGAATTTATTCTTGGTATTCTTGTGTCTATGGAGTTTAGACTTGCATAATGACCTTTACCTATCATTGCAAAGACATGAAAAATAATATTGCTACTTACCTACTACACACTGAGTTCCACCTATCCAACCCTTCTGTCCTCTTAACTCCTGGAAACTGTGTAATCTGTGTATTTTATCTGTAGCTTCGCTTTTTCCAGAACAGCTGGAGTCACATCCTATGTGTCCTTTTCATACTGGCTTTTTAGATGCGGTAACATGTATTAGTTCTGTCATGTTTCCATAGCTTAATAGTTTATTTCTGTTGAATGATATTTCATTGCTTGGACAACTTATAGTTTATTCATTCTCCTTCTGAAGGAAATCTTGGTTGCTTCCAAGAACTTGGTAATCTTGATGTGCTATAAACATCCATGCAGAAGTCTTTGTGTAGGAATAAATTCTTATTTTATTTGGATAAAAGCAAAGGAGGATGATCGCTGGCCTAGGGTTGTGTTTACTTTTGTAATAAGTGCTACAGTGGCTGTACCATTTTATATTCCCACCAACTTCCTAGCCAACATTTAATGTCATGTTTGGGAGTTTCATCATTCTAATGTTCAGCAATAATATCTCATGGCTATTTAAAATTTAAGTTCCATAATGGCATGTGGTATTCATCAATTTTATAGACTTACTTGCCTTCTCTGTATTTTCTTTTGGGAGGAATGTGTTCAAATGTCTCATCCCAATCTATGGTTCATCTTCTTATATTCAAGCTAATCAGGGAACTTATTTGCTACATTGGCTGTCACATTAGATTGCAGACTTTAAAAAAATTATTTTATGTGTATGGATGTTTTGCCTGCATGTGTGTGTATTCATACAAGCTGCCTCATGCTCTTGAAATCCAGAAGAGGGCATCAGATCTTCTGGAATTACAGACAGTTGTAAGTTGCCTTTTTAGTGCTAGAAATTGAACCTGTGTCCTCTGGAAGAGCAGCCATTGCTCTCAACATCTGAGCCATCTATCTATCCCTATCTGTGGGCTTCTTTTTTAAAAACAAAATTTTTAAAAAATGTATTTATTTATTTTACATCCGGACTGCAATTTCCCCTCCCTTCTCTCTTCCTTGTCCCTCTTCCTACCTCCTGTCTGCCTGCCTCCATCCATCCTCTCCTCCTCCATTTCTGTTGAGAAAAATGGCAGGCCTCCCATGGATATCAACAAAACATGACCTATCAAGTTGCAGTAAGACTAAGCACCTCGCCTTCTTTTAAGGCTGGGCAAGGTGACTCAGTATGAGAATTTTCTCATTTTGGATGAGCCATCTCTCCATCCCTATCTGTGGGCTTCTTAAGGGTAAATATTGTCACATTCCCATTTAGTTTCACAACCCAGTGCTTGCCGTGTATTATAATTAAATATGTTGAATTGTTTGTGAAGTAAACCATCCACTTTCTTTTTTTTTTTTTTTTTTTTTTTTTTTTTTATAGGCAAGGGATGATCTTTGTGTCAGATGCATAGGAACTTTGAACTTTTGGGAGCATATTAGTAATGTGGAATCACACTCTTCCCACCCTAAACATGGATTTGCATTTGAACAAAGCCCCGGGTGGGTTGCATGCCCTCTCTGGGTCTTATAATTCACTGAGCCTTTGTGAGCATCTCTCCCCAACCTCAGTCAAGTGCAGTAGGAACATAAGCAAAGGTACATTTATAGGAGAGATGAATCTGGAAAGTTCTATTTTGAGCGGGTACAGGAAAGGCCTCACCACCCCACTCAGAAAGCAAAAATGGCAAGTAAAAAAGAAAACACAACTTAAAAAAAAATTTTTTTTAGAAGCTTGTGCCAAAGAACTTGAGAATATGAGAACTGAAAGTTCTGTGCTAGAAATCAACATACAGCCTCAAAAGCAGATTATAGATGTTGATTTTCAAAATGAAGCCCTCTCCAGGAGTCAGAACCAGTAAACACTCTGTGTGCATTGCTTCACCTGAGTTTATGAACACATGCTTGCATCTCCTGGTTTGCTGGCTTCTGAGATGACATGATGGACAAAGACCCTATTTCTGCATGATATTGTGTACTGAACAAAAATTGTAACCCCGCAGCTAAATGATGTCATACAGGTAGTTGCAGAACATGTGGAAACCCCATGCCACTCTCAGTCCCTTGAAGGTAAAGCTTGTTTCTTATTTTACTAGAATCTTCATTCCCTAGAAACTGCCTGGAGGGTTGTGAAGAAACTCCAATTCACCACATCCCTCTCTCTCTATTGGTCTTTAACCAAATAAGAAATGGGGGAGTCAGATCAGGAAAATTATCAATATCAGTAGTAAAAATGAACTGGAGTGCATGGCTTGAGCCCAAAGACAAAAGGGGTTTCCCAAAACTTCCTTTCTAAATCCTGCTTGACCTTGCCGCTCACATGTGGGTAGAGTTGATTTACAGAGAGATGTTCCAGCCTTGTGGAGGTGCCAGCTGGCTTCAAGCTCTGATTGTAGACACAGGAAGAGAAACGAGATGAACACTTCCTGAACTTTAATGTAAGAGTCCGCCCCGCCCCCGAGGTTAATGTGGTCAAAAGGGCCAGAGCCCTGTCTCTCAGAGCCAGCTAAACATCCTCTTTCTGGAGGGCGTGCCTGAACAGAGGTAGGCCAGATAAAGATCCTATTTTGTGGCTAAGGTAAAACCTCGAGGAAATCAAAAGAATGGCTTCTTGCTTATTTGAGTTTATAATAAGAATGCACAAAATGTTACACTAATTACTGGGTGGAATAAAATTAAAAGTGCAGTTCTTTAGGGGAGATCAAAGAAATATAAGTTGTGCTTTCTTTTCTAGCCAGACAAAAGAAAAAAATTTTAATTGGAGATAGCCATTCTAAGGGTATGGGGTATTTTGTAAAGCTGTTTCTGTTAGTGACTAATATATATATATATATATATATATATATATATATATATATGTATATGTATATGTATATATATATATATTCATTGTCCTATTTTTATACTTGTATATATTTGATCATATTTACTCTCTGGTCCTCTTCCCAACTAGTCCCCTCCTACGATAATGTCC